CAGAACATTGTCTGGTAGGGCTATAGGCGAGCCAGGACGCCTCGCCTCTGCTTGACCACCTGGCCCCAGAAGTGCCTGGCTCGGCGGGGCCTGGTGCAGCCTGGCTGGGCCCGGCGGGGCCCGGCGCGGCCCGGCAGGGCCCGGGCCCTGGACCCAGGATGCCAAGACTCGGGACCGAGACCGGCCGCCCCCTCGCGGGGCTGGCGGACGGCGGCGGCTCCTCCCCCCTCGTTCGGCCGAACAGAATCCAACCGAACCGGCCAATCCAAGCCAGACCGACTGCAAAGCCAGACCGGCCCGAACTGCGCCGGTCCCTTCATGTGACTGGCCGCTCGTACCTGCTCGCATGCCACTCAGGATGTGCATCCCCGCAGAACCTCGTTACCTCCCTTTCGAACGTGGCCCCTCTTGCAGCCTCACTCGGCGCGAGCCCTGAACTGGGGAGAGGGATGGAAGGATGAACGAGGAACACGAAGCGGAGGACTAGTATGGATACAATCGGACCTAGGACAGAAGAACATCCGTCAAAGAACATGAGGCCGGCCAAATTGACGAGCATTCGAAAGTACATTCTCCCAGGATGGACAAGAACATCCAACAAGCGCGAAGAACATCAGCGTACCCTCTCCGAACCGACCTCGATCTTACACCTCGGTCCAGCTGTATGGAGGGGAGGAGGGGATGCGGCAGATGGGGGAGAAGAGGGATGGAGTGAGGAGGGCGGAAAACAGAGGAGAAAAGGAACGATCTTCACTGGGCCACTAGTGGGTCAAATTCATTCGTGCGCTATTCGTGGGCCAACTCCTTTCGTGACCTCTTAGGAGGGCCATTAGGGGGGCCATCAGCGGGGCATTACCGGGCCATCAATGGGGCGAGGAAGATAGCAGGGCATTCCAGTATAAACAATGACGGGAAACCCTCTAGGACGGTCAGAATTATGAGAGACTCCCGCTCGGGTGGTTAGTTATTGGTGTGACAGCCGGGGGCCCAAACAACACAGTTTGTGCCGCAAGGCTTTCCTCGAACACGAGCGATGTGCGAGCGTCAAATGACATGACCCACTTCGATTTAGAAAAACGAAGGGGACCGAAGGGATGAGACCAACATGCATTTTTTTGATCGAAGGATCAACAACGGATCACGCATGAGGCTTCCGCAATGATTCTGCATCTCCGACCCCCCAAAAGCTGAGTGCTTCAAGGGATCTGTTGAAATGTTGAGCGAATTTCCCATCTCTGGCATCACAAACCCATGCTCTGGTTCAAAACTACGGAACCTCCTTCGCCACATCACCGGCAGTGCCCGTCGAGCGGGCCAGGCGTTCCGCCTGATATGTCCTCTCAACTCTTGGGTCACGGGACTTGAGGCTTCCAACAACTACACGGACGGAGGGCGCATTGTCTTCACAGTGCGGCTCTCGCCCCAAGACCGCGCGAGCTCGTCTTAAAGGCTTCCGTCAGCAAGAACGGACGGCCGGTGGTTCTCAACGTCAGGGGGCCACATGCGAACCCTACCCCACCCTCTCCCTCTGAGATCGTGGGGGGTAGGGGGAGGGTTCGCACGTGGCCCCCTAAACGTGTGGCTCTCGCATCAGCGCCGCGCACATCTGGCACGGGTTCCAACTGTTCTCGAGCGCGGCAGGGGCTTCAATGCCGCGCACGACCGCCCGAGCTTTCTTGAGACGGCTGCACGGTTGGAGGCCGGCTGCTGGGCGCTCGCTTGGTGCGCCCTCCATGAAGGTGCCCTGGGACACACAAAGAAATACACACAAATCACCGGATTCGCCGCATTTTCCCTTACTTTTTGGGTGCTTGTCTTCCCCCCCCACTTCCCATATTTTCCCAGGACTTTCTGGGAGTCGACGATTCATTGTGTCTGTGTGCTTATTCCCCTCCTTACTCCACTTCCAGCGATCCTGCTTCCCCCATCGCGGCGTCGCGACGCAGACCTGATGCCTCCGAGGCCGCCCTGTCGGAGCGCGCCGCCGAGGCAGAGTGAACTGGGAGGGAAAACAAAAGGAGGATCAAGCAGACAAACGCACCGTGTGCGAACCCCACTGTGACTGGGAAGCTGGTCGAGGGCTGCTAAAACCGTGGCTGCTAAAACGGCCCTCCCGGAAGGAACAAACAACTTCCCGGAAGGAAGCGCGGCACGCGAAACAGTCAACGGGCTTCTTCCCGGAAGGACGAAGACAACTTCCCGGAGGTCGATTTTAGCAGCCACGGATTTAGCAGCCCTTGCCCGGCTTTCGAGTGACTCCATCGGCCACTTCAGTGCTGTGCGCACGGAGGGCAACCCCCGTGCCAGAGTGAAGACCGTGCTCATACAGTGCGCCACGGTTCCCCGAAGCTTGAGCTCGCTTGTTCGCTTCACCTGCACCTCCTCAACTCGTGCGCTTCTGAATTTGGCGTCCCTAGAAAGCTACACCTCGCCATCGCTCGGACGTCCATTACCTGTGCTTTTTTTGGTTTCGTGCGTGGTTTTTCGCCAAATGATCAAGGATGCTCCTCGATGGTCCTCGCCGAAGGGAAAATGCACACGTCCGAGCGATGCCAAGTGCTTACAATGCGCCACTGTTCCCCGAAATTTGAACTCGTTTGTTAGTTTCACTTGCGCCTCCCGAACTCGTGTGCTTCTAACTTTGGCGTTCCTAGAAAGCTGCACGGATTGTAGGCAGTCTCTTTGCAACACGAGGCCCGCGCCGGAAGGGCAGGCCCACGGGGCGGCCGTTTTTTCGAGGGGACGCCCTCCGAAGAGAGCATGCACACACACTCAACGGGAGGAGGAGGAGGAGGAGAGGGAGGAGAGGAGGAGGAGGAGGAGGAGGAGGAGGAGGAGGAGGAGGAGGAGGAGGAGGAGGAGGAGAGGAGGAGGAGGAGGAGGAGGAGGAGGAGGGAGGAGGAGGAGGAGGAGGAGGAGGAGGAGGAGGGAGGAGGATGGGGGGGGAGGAGGGAGGAGGGGGAGGGGGAGGAGGAGGAGGATGGGGGGGGGAGGAGGAGGGGGAGGGGGAGGAGGAGGGGGAGGAGGAGGGAGAGGGGAGGCTCTCCCTCCTTCCTCGCACCTTCCCCCCTCCTCCTCCTCCTCCTCCTCCTGCTCCTCCTCCTGCTCCTCCTCCTCCTCCTCCTCCTCCTCCTCCTCTGTCCCCTCTCTGTATGGCCTCGTTCCATCGCCTCTCTCTCTCTCTCTGCCTCTCTCTCTCTCTCTCCCTCTCTCTGCCTCCTTGGCGCCCCGCACCTCCTCAGGGCCAATTTCCTTTCCAGCCGGCCCCGGCCTCCGCTGCTCGCACGCGGCTCGCAGGCACTGCACTCTCGCCGACCGGCTCTTCCTCGTTTCGGGGATGGACAGACCTCCCTTTAGTGAAACGTGGTTTAGAGAAAACGACCTCGGGCCCAAACCTGGCGGGCGCAGGCCTGGGAAATAACGGCCGCGGCGCCCTCTCGAGAACCGAGAACGGACAATTCACGAATCGACGTGTCACTGTTGGGGGTTCTGTCCACCCCGGATCGTTCTCGCTCCGTTCGGCCACTCCTCGCCGCCCTTGCCCCAATCTGCTTCGGCGCGCTCCGCCTCTGGCCCGACCGGCGCATGAGCGCCTCTTGCACCCATACGCCCGCTGACAAGAACATGTTTTTTTTGTTTCTCTCTCTCTCTCTCTCTCTTTCTCTTCGACTGCACGCAGGAGTGACCCTGGGTAAAGGTGACCTTTGGTGCGCGGCTTTTTGGGGGCCGCGGGGGGACCAAACACAGGCGCGCAAGGCGCTGCTATCGCATCGCGTTCGGCGATCGGAGGACCCCACTGGGCCCGCACCAAAGGTCACTCCGGCGAACGGTCACTCTTACGTCCAGTCGACTATCTTGCCCTTGGCAATGCGAGGCAGACTAAGACTCTCCTGGCCAGGCGAGGCAGATCAGCGCGACTCCTGGAACTCCGACCTGTACACCCACCTGCAGCTCTTTCTTCTACAGTCAAAACTGACAGTAAGGATGCGAGGAACTGGCCATCGCTCGGACGTCCATTTCCTGTGTTTTTTTCGGTTTCGTGCGTGGTTTTTTCGCCAAATGATCAAGGATGCTCCTCGATGGTCCTCGCCGAAGGAAAAGTGCACACGTCCGAGCGATGCCAGGGGAAAGGATGCAGGCCCCTTGGACGCCCATGTCGAGGCTTTTGGAGCGGGGCTGGCCATCGAGAGCAGGTAAGAGTGGACCGAGGAGGCAAAAATGCAATGGTACCCTTGGGAAAGTGACCCACCCTTACTATCGGCTTCGACTGTATTCCCCCCCTCCTCGTCCGCCTGCCCGTCCTCTTGCTCATCCTCGACGCTGCCGTCTCCTATGCCCCCCTTCTCGTCCTTTTCCTGGGTAGGGATTGGACTCCTCTGCCGGAGATCGGGCGGGTAGTGAGGGGGGCTGGCCCTATGGGGGGTGCAGAAAAGGGGTCCCTTCACCGGGCCCCCCCCTTGGAGAGCCAGCAGGGGCCCGAAAATGCCCCATCTGGGGCCCCTCCCTGTCCGCCCCCATGGAGGTCAACTCACATGCCACCCGCCCGGAAATCGGACGCGGCCCTTCTGGAGGATGCATCGAGCGCCGCGGTGGTTCCAGGGCGTTCGGGAACGCTCCGAGAGCGTTCCGGAAACGCTCCGGAAGGATTGATCCGGGTCCTAGCTCCGCCCGGCTGCTGTCGAATTGTCTTCCCAGACCCCCGACATCGTGATTTTCGCATAACGTGGACCCCTGGAGGTCTCGACCCATTCCCTGGAGCTGGTCTTTCATCCTGGGTAGTTTTTGAGGGTTCCAGGGCCCGTTGAGGGCCCCGAACATGGGAGAAAAACGTCCCGCCGTGATTTCTTTGCGACTCGATGGGGTCTGGGTTCATCGATCGACTTGGGGGCCCGAG